CTTTAACTTAGAGCCTAGTGACTTAACACTTTCCCAATGCTTCCTGTTGGGAAACACTGTTTTTATGCCTGCCATAGTCTGCCTGCCGAACCCAGTGTCAGAGCTGAGGTGCCATGTCGGGCAGGGAAGGAAGCCTGGCCTGGTCATTTGCACACAGCTTGTTTGTTTGTTTTTGTTTTTTAAGGAGATGCATGTTCAAATACCTGTTGGTTTTGCTTAGAATTTTGTATGAACTGTATAAGATTTGATGCTTTTGGCTTTCCCTTGACTGTTTTTAGCTGACACATGTCCTTGATATTGTCATCAGAATGATTGCATCATCTGCCCCTTTCTGCTAACCTTAGTTTATTTGCTTGCCATCATAGGACCAGTGGACAATATTCCATGCATGATCTAAACATGTCAAAGACTCTTGTGTGAAAAATACCTGCTCAGGCCGCACCCTCAGAGCAGCTGGCAGTCACAGGGAAACCAGAGAGGAAGGAGGCAGTGCTGGCCATCTTCAGCAAGAGAACCCCTTGTCTTTCCTTTGGTGTGCGTTTCCCACCCTCCCTTCTTTCTCAGGATTGAATGAAGCTCTCAGGATCGTAGTCAGATGTCACATTGAGGGAACGTGTGCCTAGAAGTTTTCTGAGTTGTCAGGCTGGGACACTGAGCTACCCTATTTTTCCTGTGAGGTTTAGTTCTGTGGATGTGAACCCAACTGTTGACTTAAACAGCACTCTGTGTGGCTCTCTGGTACCTCACATCCTTGAGGAAAATGGTTTCAGGGCTATGGGTACAAGAGAGATGGCCTGCCCCATATAGCAATGACTGCTTGCAGCCACACTCAGCAAAATAAAAGCTTCCCTTGAAGAATAAATATTTTAAAAACCCTTGATTCTAAAATATTTATTTGCCCCGGGAAGAGTCTGTGCCCACGCTCTTCAGTTGTACGATGGAAGAGCATCTGGAGGCCTGGAGCTCTGAGCTGGGCCTGGGCCACTTCCTTGCATGCAAGACAGACTCCCTCCTCTTCATACACCAGTTTTGATTCGAGCAGGAGATGTGTACACATAAGATGAACCTGCTGGGAATTGAACTAGTGTTTTCTTCTTCTTACTTGATAATTTATGAGGTGTTGAACACTGAGGGGGAGATTTCACCTCACAATTACACAGCAAATAGCGCTGGAGTTGTATAGTCTGTCTTGTTCAGCCCTCATCTGGGCTTTTCTTCTGCCGAAGGTCAGCTTCAAAAGTGCCCCTGTGGTAATCTCGTAAAGTCTGCACCCCCTTTCCCTCCATGCCTCCACTTACTTGCTAGTGTGTTTTCTTCTGCACCAGAGTTTTCGTGCCTCCCAAATGAGGAAAAAAAAGACTGATTCTCTTCTGGTTACTGGGGGTTGGGGCTATCTGGACCCCTGGCTGCTATGGGAGCCTAAAGAGAGGGAGAGAAATCTGCATCTGAGGATGGGCAGCAAAGCTGGGTTCTAAGCATCTTAGGAGCTGAGCCCAGACAAGTTTGCTCGTAAATTGATGGCAGTAGAGCTGGCGTGGTCACTTAGAAGAGACAAACCTGGTGTTGATGAGACAGGTTTGGGGAAAGTCAGGAATCTATGTTTTGATTTTTTTTTCACACCAAAAGGCATCCTCACATGGCCATTGTTACCATGAGGGTGGGTTGTCTCAATGAGGAACCCAGTACCCTTGTCTTGGCAGTGTCTTCCCTGTACAGGCCATGTTCACTTCCAACCCTGGGGAACTCCCATGGCAGCCACATCTCCATGGTTTTATGAATTGGTTATGAAATGAATGTGCCTAAGAGGCTTGCGTATTGAAACTTGAAGCCACCTAGCACCTGCTTCTTTTCAAGGCCACAGCCAGCCTAGTGTCATGCCTGCCTGGCTCCCTCATGTACTGCAGGAGCTGACCGGGAGAGCCTCATGTGCCCCAGGCAGAGGAGGAAACCAGAGATCCAAGAAGGTGGGCGCACCATGGGCAGCAGCTATAGAGCTACTCCGGCCCACCACAGGAAACTCAGGGTTGGTGGGAGGCCACAGACAGGCCAGTGTCCAAACCACAGGTCTCACTGAGCACACTGGATCTGCACCCTAGCAGAAGCTGTCAGAAGGAGCCTGGAGTCTTTTTGTTGTTTGTTTGTTTGTTTGTTTTAAGACAAGGTCTTACTATATATCCTTGGCTGGCCTGAACTCGATATTTAAACCAGGATGGCTTTGAACTCATAGAGGTCTACTTGCTTCTGCCTCCCAAGTGCTGGGATTAAAAGCATGGCCAAGACACTCAGCCTTCCTAGGAGGCTTCATCCCCACACACCTAGTTGGTGACATCGGCTGTGCAGGTGTCTGAGCATGGTGTAGGACAGCTGCTGGGAGATTCCCACATGCCTCTGACCTGTTATTTAATGTATTTTATTCCCTGTCTTTTCCTTCTAGGAAAGACTAAACTCAGAAAATCATGGATGTGCTCTGCAGAGGCTAGTTGTCTTGGCTGAGTTCCTGTGTGAACTCACAGCTGTTGGGGAGACACTTGACGCTCTGCTGGCTGCTGAGGGGCTGCCAGGGACATCACAGTGAGCTGCCCCCAAGCAGGGGGATGCCTAGCCTGTTTCTCAAGTGCTTTTGGACTGGACTGTAGGCACTGGGGCTGAGGGTAGGGCCCAACAGACAATGCTGTTATTCTGGAAGTGGGCATGGAGCCTCACACTTCTCTCCAACTGTTGGGAATGGATGAGGTTGCCTGACTGTGGGTGTTTGAGTGGGTTAGGGTCTCATGTGCAGCTGTAGGAGGCCAAAGCCCTCTAGAGTTCATATTGGTCAGGCACAGGGACCCTGAGTCCAAGCTTGCTGGCAGAGCCCAGTCTCCAAAAGCTACACTGTGGCTGGCTCAGGCTTGTTCCCCTTCACTAAGATGCAGGCCTTATTTTACACCCTAAGGTTAGTGCCTAGCCTCTGCTCCCAGCCTGTGTTTTGGCTCCTGATGCCAGACCCCTTCTCCAATCCCTGATCATGACATTTAGAGCCTTGTGTAACACCTCATCATATCTCTACCTTCACCTTGCTTCATGGCTTTGTGCAGAGCCGCTGCTATGGGAGCCTCTGCTGGATGGTGTCTACACATTCTCACTGTACCCACTGTCTTAGTTAGGGTTTTACTGCTGTGAACAGACACCGTGACCAAGGCAACCCTTATACAGACAACATGTACTTGGGGCTGGCTTACAGGATCAGAGGTTCAGTCCATTATCAAGGTGGGAGCATGGCAGCATCCAGGCAGGCATGGTGCAGGAGGATCTGAGAATTCTACATCTTCATCTGAAGGCTGCTAGCAGAATACTGGCTTTCAGGCAGCTAGGATGAGGGTCTTAAATCCCACACTCACAGTGACACACCTACTCCAAAAGGCCACACCTACTCTAACAAGGCCACACCTTCTAATAATGTCACTCCCTGGGCTGAGCATGTACAAACCATCAAACCCACCATTCTACCTCTCTCTCACCATACTTTTTAAGTTTTGTCCCCACCGCACAAAAGGGCTTAGACAACCAACCTTCCTGTCCTAGCTGGTAGATGCAATGACTTATCCCAAACAGCAACTGTGCTTTCCTGCTCAGAGGAGGGGCAGTGGGGATGGCTGCCACCCACCCTGCTGTGAGTGCTTCCTCATTGCAGTATGCCATTTTCTCAAACAGCCAACACCAACACCACCACAACAACGAAGCTGTAAAGTGCCAGATGGCTGAGGAATGAGGTTCGGATGAGTCTAGGTATGGAGGGCGACATGTGGGTGGAGGCTGAGGTCTCCAGCAGGTGGGTGCCCTGGGGTCAGTAGATCCCAGCCTGGAAGATGCTTTCTGGTGTTGTGCAGGTCTGGTAAGATGGATGTGTGTTCTTGTCCGTGAAACCTGCCCCCATTCCCTACAGGCCTCCCCAACATGCTTGCCTGCCCTGACACTTGGCATCCTGTCTGCTTCACTTAACCTCCACAGCCAACCTGGTTTCCACTCATCAGAACCCCACTCTGGGGCAGCAGCAGGGCACCTGCCTTCTACCCATAAGCTAGGAAGAAATGGGAGTCCTACCCCTCCCAAAGTCTCTAGAGAGAAAGTGGTTATGGAGTGAACGTGTAAGGTTCCATGAACCACAGGCAGTCTGGGTCTTCTCTGGGTAAGTGTCCATACAACAAGACCCAAAACCCTGGGTAGACCCTCCAAGTGGTGTGGTATAGAGTTGTACACTTGAGGACCTAGGCTCTAGCCTGGGTCAGTTGGAGGGACCTGTCTAAGTGGTGCTGGGCAGAAATCCAGGCTGCCTGAGCCTGCCCCTCAGGGCCTATAGGAGACAAAGACATTAGAAAAGACTGACTCATCTTGACTCCAGGGGATCAGGGCACAGCAAGAGGTCTGGGAATCAGAGTTCTCCTCTGACAAAGATTTGGTGCCCAGGAGAGTGGTGCTCAGCTCACCAGGGCTGTGGCAGCAGAGACTGTATCAGTCGGCACTGGAAAGACAACCAGGCTGTGTTGAATGTTGTCTTGTGCTGTTCCCCATTGTTAATCAAGAGACCGTCATAATCCCAGGCATGTCCAATGAGCTCCATCCAGCAGGGCAGGTGCTCCATCCTGTTGTTGGAGAATCCCAGAGCAGGGGCTGGTGTTCCACGGGCTGAGATGCCTGGGTTTCCTCTTGCACATTTTCCATGGAATGCGATGTCAGTGGAGTTGCTGGGTTGCAGATTTGCAGCTGAGGAAGTCTGGGAGCCTGACTGTGGTCATATATGTGTCCTCATCCCATAGTAATCCTGCAAGAAGGGTCTGAGCCATCCTTTGCACAGCTGGATTTTGTCCAGACATGATCACCCCTCCTAAGGGGTTAAATGGATGGAACTTTGATGGACTGCAGGATTGTTAAGCAGGTGCAAGCATCTTAAGGGTGGGGGTTGTGCCTGGTACAGAGCCTTTCCACTGCTTTACTTGGTGTCTCTTTGCTTCATCCCACAGTGAACTTCGACCACTTCCAGATTCTGAGAGCAATCGGGAAAGGCAGCTTTGGCAAGGTAAGGTAGAGTCTCTGGGTGGGCCAGTGGAGGGTGGGAACATACAGGACCATGGAGCCACATCTGGATTTATTCCATTCCTCAGAGAAGTTACACCCACCACTAGGGCAAAAGGCTCAGTACTATCAGGGAGGAAGTGGGGGCTCTAGGTCTTCAGCAGTTTGCCCTCAACCTAGCCCTCCACCACCTTCCAGGCAGGGTCTCTGGGATCTCAGCTCAACTGACAACAGAGTGTGGCCTGGTTTAGTTCTGTAGAACCTTGATCACCCTGTAAGGGGTTCTGTGTTCCAACACACACCCACTCACAATACTGTTGCCATCTTTCAGTCTGAGTGATTTCCTCAGTAAGGGGTGTACTCTGGGCTGGAAGTTAGGCATTTTGGAAGGCCGCATTGTGTGGCAAGCTCCCCAAGATTCAGGAGCTACTCTGCCATCCCATGGACTTGCTAACTGAACCATCAGTTCAGGCTGCACACTGTAGTTCAGAGGCCAGGTTGTATCTATTGTCAGTTCCTTAGGTGCAAGGTGACAAGACTCAGTGTGTCCGCCAGAGATGAACCCCAAGGCTCTTGTCTCTCAAGCAGGCGCCCTGTGGAGCCTGTTTCCACTTGTCTTTTCTCTCTTGGCCAGATCTAACTTCCTGATTGCTGCCTTGTGGTAGCTACAGATTGGGGGTAATTATAACTCAAAGAGATTTAACAAGCGCTCTGAAAGGGCTGGAATTAGCCCTCGGCTTCTGCAGTGTGACGTGCTGTGGATGGTCCCCTCCTGAACAGGCGGTTGAGTTCAGCTGTCCAGCACTTCCCGCCCCTCTAGCCTCACAGCTGTCTGCTCACCGCACTGTGTCTATTTAGGCTCCGAAAGCCTTCTCTAAAGAGATTGTGCCGCCACCAGAGTACAAAGAACAGGGTGATTGAGGGCGATTAATTGCCTCTACTTCATTGTATCACAAAGGATGGCTGTTCTGGTTGCTGAAGCCTGGGGTGAATTAAGTCAAAGCAGATGAGTGCTTAGCACAGTGTTGAAAACAAACCACAGGGAGGCATCTCTAACATCCCTTGGGCCCCAGGCTCCTACCGGCCAACTGTTTTGAGTCTGTGAGGATGGTTAGTCTGAGTCCAGTTGAAACTCCTCTGTGTGGATGTTGCCAGGGCTGTGGAGGGTGCAGGTGAGAGGAACTGGCAGGTGAGGTTTGTAGGGTAGTAAAGAACAGCTGGAGCTGGGTTTAGGAAAGTAGCTGATACTGGGAGGTACCCTCATCAGGAGGCATTCAGAACCTAGGTCTGAAGAGGGCTGGGCTGTAACATCCTAGACTGAAGACCACCATTAGCAGGCTAGGCTGGGGTCAGGGGGCGGAAAGGGTAGGTGCTGTTTTGGGAAATATTTCCATTTCCTTCCCCTGGAGGCTTTCAGGGCACCCCTTACCCAACCCTTCCTGTATCTACTCTCCCCCTCCACTCTTTCAAGGAGTATCCCTGATTCTCGAGGGCATCTGGCATGTCCTATCTTATGTCAAGTTTGCAGAAACCCAGGACTATGGCTCTTCTGACCAAGTCTTGTCTTCGAGAGCTGTTGAGCTGAAGCAGGCTGCTGTGGGATTGCAGAGACAGACTCATTGTCTAAGATGGTGGGGGTTACAGTTGGGACACTCTTTCCGGGTCCCAATTAGCTGCCTAGTTAGGTCACCAAGAGTCGTAGGCTGTGGCTGCCTGGTGGGTATTTAAGAGAGTCAACACCTCACAGGTTGGGTTCTGTTCTTGCTACTCTCAGTGGTTACAATACTGGACCCAGGCAGGGAGGAGTGGGGGCCTGGAAAGGAAGCTGGGCTGTCTAGTAGGCCTGAGAATATATCCACCTGTATACTGTGCCTCAGAGGCTATGTTCTCTGCAGACAACTCTTCCTAAAGATGAGACGGACAAAGCTCACTGAAGCCCTGCCATGTGCAAGGCTGTGGCAAAATATGTGCATCTGAGACCAGTGTTTGCAGTTAATGTTCCTTTAACCAATGACTACTTCCCCTGTTGGGGGCTGTGACTCTTGGAGATGGGCTATACAAATTTGTTATAACTAGTCTTTGACTGTTTTCCCAATTTCTTAAAAAAACAAAAAAACAAAAACCTGGTAAACTTCATGTAATGTTGGTCATGATGTACACTGTTTTAGATGCACAGTTCCATGTCATCATGGTCAGTCCCACGTCACCATGGTCATATTGTTATGTGACAGATTTCAGTTACTTTCATCTCGAAAAAACTAAACCCATCGCTGTTAAGTGACAGCTCTCTCTTGCCTCCTTTTCAGGCCCTAGCAGCAGGATTCTGCTTTCTGTCCCAATGATTTTGAATACTCAGGACACCTTGCCTTAGTTATTTCTAGCTGCTATGACGGAAGCACCACATACTGGATGCTGGAGGAATAAATATCTCGAGTAGTTACTGATGCTGGAAGTTCAAAATGGAGACAGATATGGTGCTGGGTGGGGGCTGACTTCCTGGCTGTGCCCCTCAGGTTGTGGAAAGAGCAGAGTTCCCTGGGGTTCCTCATCAGACAGGCCCTATTCATGAGTCCTCCCCACCCTCAGGATTTGCTACTAACACCTAGTTGCTTAAGATTTTAATGCAAGAATCTGGGAGGGAGCACAAGCATTAAATATGCTGTAGTAAGTGCAATGTGAAAATTCTGGTTGGGTCCATGTAGCAAAATGTCCTCAAAGTTTGTCTGTGTTGTAATGTGTGTCAGAATCCCTTCCCTCTGAAGTTGGAGCAATCCTACTGACCTGTGTACAGTGTTTTCCCATTGGTGGACTCTTGACTTGCTTCCACAGATCAGCCATTGTGGATACTGCTGTTGCTATGAACATGAGTGTACAATGGTCTCTTGCTTTTCCTGCTTTAAATTCTGTTGCTCAGTGGTGAAATTGCCATATCACAAGATGATCTTAAGACTTTAGAGGAACTGCCATGCTGTTTTAAAGCATGTTAAACCATATTACTGCTCCACCATAGGGCATACCATTTCACATTCCCACCCATGCTTGTCAGGGTATGAGTTTCTGGTCATAGCCTTCCCAGTGAAGCAAGAGACTGTCTCCTTGTGTTTTCTTGATGACAGACAGATCTGCTGATGAAGTTTCTTATGTCTCGGAGGAACCTAGGAAGGCAATGTCTAGGTGTCTGGGACTCAAGGCTCTGCTGTGGAGCCCCAGGCTTCCCTAGCCTCCAGCTGGGGTGTTGAGGGCTGATTTTGTTGCCATAAATTTGTTGAGCAGGAAGCCCCTTAAAGTTGTTCCTGGGAACAGAATCTGCTTGGGTTGTTTCCATAAGGTGGAGTGAACTAGGACACACAGGCAAGATGCTTGGGAATATAGCTCAAGTCAGAAATACAGAAATAGAAAGGCAAACATTGAATGGCTGGCAGAGAGATCAAGATGAAAACTAGAGGGACCCACTGGTTGAAATTCATCAGTTTGAGACAGAATGATGTTGGCTCTGACCACCTCTTGGGGCTATCTTTTTGAGTATTGGCTTTCCTAGGTCCTCCTTCATCAGGCATGAACTGGGTACCCAGGGCCACCTGCATTCAGCAGCAGACTCTAGTGGCCTCCTGACTCAGGTGTCAGAACCTCACCCCCAGCTTTTTCATTTAACTGGCGTCCTGAGAAACATCCTATTGGAATCCCGGACATCTCTGGGAAGGATGCTGTTGCTAGGTAGATTTGCTCTCTTCTTTCTAGGCTTCCATCCATTTGGGGAATAACAAGCAGAAGCCCCAGCTGCTTAGGAGTGAGACCTCAGCCGGGCAGTGGTGGCACACACCTTTAATCCCAGCACTTGGGAGGCAGAGGCAGGTGGATTTCTGAGTTCAAGGCCAGCCTGGTCTACAGAGTGAGTTCCAGGACAGCCAGGGCTACACAGAGAAACCCTGTCTCAGAAAAAAAAAAAAAAGAAAAAAGAAAAAATAGGAGTGAGACCTCAGGCCCAGACTGGAGTAGAGGAGGAAGAAGCTAGGTTTTCCTCCCCAGAAGTCATTGTGTCCAGACACCCTGAAGCCTCTGTGTGTGTGAGGTATGGCTGGCCTTGGCCTGGGGATAGAGCGAAGGAGGAAGAGGGGTCTAAAATATGTCAGGGGAAGACTAACAGTGAGAGAGGACGTGGTAAGGGCCTTCCTTACAGGGTGAATCTTTTGTAGATCTGGTGCATTCTTAGGAAACTTTTTTCTGCATTTGTTGCTCTTCTGTGCCTTTACCACACAATGTTCAGGATCACAAAGTGGCAGGCCTGGGATGTCAACTGAACCCTTTATTCATGTGGTCCATATTTTGCTTCTCACGTGTTCTTAGAGTTGTGTAGTGTGCTGTTCTGTGTGATGTTTGGTTGCTGTAGTAAGGAATTCATTTTTCTAGTTGGAGATTTGGTTGGTCTGTGTATCTCAATGTTGGCCCTGCCTATCAGCTCTCCCACCCATAACCCCTCCCCAGGAGTGATGGGAAGGACTGCTTCCTAGAGCTTCATTATGGCTGAGCAGAGGCTGGACAGACTTGAACATAGGACTTGTACCCAATCTGGGGTCCAGGCAGTGAAGATAGTGATCTTGCAGCCTGTGGGCATTTCTTGCTGGGAAGATAGGACCTGCTTCTGGCTTCCAGGGGGTACAAGGAGTTTTAGAGGCAGGTTCCCTATGATGTGCTAAACAGACTCAAGGCTGAACATTAATGTTTGCCAGTGCTATCTGTAGGCAAGGTGTCAGTCCTAAAGATACTCTGAGACACGTCACCAGCAAGTAGAAAATCAAGGGAACACCAGAAAGATCCCAAGGAGATGCCTGACTCCTGGGTCTGGATGTCCTTTAGGGAGTGCAAGAGGTTCGGGTGGGGATTTTAGTACCTTGGTTCGCTTTGGGACAGCAGGCATAGTTTGCTATTTTGGTAGGAATGTTCCTCCTTCCTAGGGCCTTATGGGCCCAGTTTCGATTTGGATAAATCTCTCCATCCATCTTTATC